GCTAACAGCTATTTTCCATCTAATAAATGCAGTTTGAAGATGCTTTGAAGATTCAGAGCACTGAACATGTGGAGCTTTTACCATAACCATTAGAAAGTTCAAAAGCTCATTTCTGTCCTTCTGTCTGGTGAGGTGCATTTGGTGCTCGCAGACGACGCTGGCTTTGCCAAGCAGCGAGGGCTGGCGTTGCACGCGCCTCATTACACAGCTCTGTCTGCCCACTCTTTCAACAAAACTGTCAGCCTTCAAGCCTTGCTTGAGCAATGCTTTCAAACTGTGGGTCCCCTCAAGGCATGTGAAGTTCCTCCAAATCCTAGTGAGACCATTAGATAAGGAAGGTGAGCAGCATACTGCAAAATGCCACCAGAGAAGGCCAAGTTGCATGCAGTAAACCTAGAACACCAAAATCACTTTCTTAAATGGCTCCAAACATGATGCACAAGCTGTTCTTTTGAAGTAGAATACATAAAGTTCCTTTAGACCTGTCAGGCACAAGCAGAGATTATGCTAAAGAATGTTTGCAACATTAAGTTCTTTGCTACCTTTTAGATCTTTTAAAAAATGCAAACAGCAGCAGCAGCATTGAAAGTTCTTTACAATTTTTCCTGAAGGTTCTCCAATCACACTACATCTGCTCCTCCTTTAGTCGTCAGCAATTTTCCTCTCTTCTGTGCTTTAGCATGATAATGTGTTTTACAATCTTAATGGTACAATAAATGTAGGCTGTGTTCTGCCCCTTTAGATTATAGTCTTTTACAGTGAATGATACTGAACTGTAACATCTCCTATGATCTCAAAGCTCTTAAGGATAAAAGAGTGGTACACACCTTCTAACAAGTGACAATAGCCAACTTTTCCTCAGTTTGGGCTGATCTCTGAAGCTGGTTAGAAAGAATCTACTGATAGTACAGACACTGTTCTAAGAAATACATCACAGCTCACTGAACTCTGAAGGATATGACAAAGACCTGAGTGGACCCCCTGAAGTGCCATCCACTTCCTTGACAGAAAGACCACAGAACTGGAAGTGAACCATCAGTGAAAGCGGTGCAAGGCATAGAATTATGACATGCCATCTGGTTGGTACAGGATAAGGAAATGTATCATTTTGGTGGCTTCCACCTCCACAGAAAAATAAAGAACTGTTTATGCAGCAAAATGGTTTGACTATTTGGGAAAGTCCTCAACTAGCCATGAAAATTAAAAAAAAGAAGAGAAAAAAGAGAAACGACAGAAAAGCGAAAAGAGAGAAAAAAGAGAAAAGATAAATCAGAATAAAAGACAGCAAATTAGAATTAATAGAACTAATAATGCTGAAAACGGAAGTAGTCACATCCCTTTAATGCCTAATTTGACAATATCAGAAACCTAAATAAAAACAAAAATATTGTATTCTTAGAGGTGTACATTCAGCAAAGGTGACACCACACTCACTATTGCTGCCTATTTAGGAAATAGGAAGCGAACAAAAGGGAAAATGGGACTAAACTGAAAATTGCATCACTTGTTTACAAGTCCCTGACAACTCAGAAGCAAACCATCTTGGACATTTATGGATCAATGACCCTGCATCTAAAGCACAAGGAGAGGGAATATTGACTATTTACATACAGAAGAGAACAGCATGTCCATGCACTCAGCTATAAATGTTCAGAACACTCCCTCACGCCATGACTCCAAGACTGTTATCACACAGGATTTTAACTGATCATTCTGAAAATTTTACAGCAAGCTCAGGATTTATAAACATTATAAAACATAAAAATTCTGAATTTGATACAGAAATCTTTACTAGACCTCAGCTTGATAAGTAAAGAGAAACTGATGACCAAAATAAAGGTTAGCCATAGCTTAGCTGCAAGTGATTGTGCCTCAGTTGTATTTATTAATCACAAACAAAAAAACCCCACAGGTAATGTGTACTTAGTTCTTTAAAAATTCCAGCTTCATAAAGCTGCAAAAAATCCTAAACTTAGACGTAAGGAAAGAATCTCGCTTCAAAGATGAACGACTGTTTTTCAAAGACCCTTCTAAAGTTACATACAAACAAACAGGTCACCAATCACAACTAGATGAGAAAGTTAACCCAAAATTTAAACCTTTCCTCAGACTACTTATAAACAAATCAAGGGAAACCCATGGGTAAATCTCAGCCACAGCAATAAGCATAACTGAAATGCTACAGGCGGCCCAGTGAAGCAAAAGACACAAGAAACAGCCTTCTGGGTACATTAGGAACAAAAGGAATCCTAGCAGTATTACCAAGTCCATTATTTGACAGAAATTCTTCAGCGTGGAGAATCTACAACAGGGAGAACTGTTCAACACACAGTTCTAAGACTCTAAAGGTAAGTATGATGACAAACTTTGTAATAAATATTGTCTATTCCTGTAATAAACAACAGTTATAAACAACAGCAGTTAAGGCTAGATAACAGGACACTGGATCCAGCTAAAGCACTCACATCACGAAACGTGTTGCAAGAGATGAAACAATCCAGAACAGAGCCATAAGAAACACCAGGAAAGTAGAAAAGTAAGCCTCACAAAGGAAACCTCTACCTCAAAGTACTATGCTTCCCCAAGCCAAGTTTGGGGACAATCCTAGTAAACGTTATCCAAATATCACAGCAGAGGGCTTTTCTGTCTAGCCAAGATACAAGAACCACTAGCCTAAATTTAAAAGCAAATAATTTCAGTTATACAAAATGGCATCTACTTCTAATCCACTCAGGGGAATTCATTAAACACCACCAGCGGAATTGACTGCCTTGCTGGCAATGTTTAAAGAAAGTAACAAAAGGGTTTCTAAATTATGCATTTTTGCTCCAAGAGGTCTTAATTTAGGGCAGTCCTCTAGTCTGCATCACACAGGTTGTTTTAAACAGGGTTTCTGTAAGTACTCACAAGCTTTCTTTTTTTTGGCATGAAATCCTTCTGAATAAAAACAAAAAACAGACTGCTGGTGAAAACCAACAGCACAGCTTTTAAAATTCCCCTCTCATTCCTACGTTTGAGGGAATATTTGTTTTAATGTACCAAGTTCCATAACAAAATCCACTTTTTATTTATGCAATGTTTATATGCACTTTGAAATGCTCAATATACTCTCTGTATATGTCTCATTTTAAGAGTAAGTGGCACCTGTGCCAGCCTGCAGACCGAGACATCTCAGCCTTTGCTATTTTACGTGACACTTTCTACACAGTAAACTTCCCCATCTTCCCATTAACTATTTAACCTACCACGCAGCTCAGAAATAAAGTGCAAGTACCTACCAGATAACATTGACTACTGCAGATACTCTGAGCCCTTTCAGAAATCCAGAATTGCCTCCATTACATGGTTTATTGAAGTTGGTGTTGGTTTCCAGTGCTGCACATCCTGGTATAGGGGAGAGCTGAGCATCAGAACGCACCCAAAACCCAGGCACCCCCAGAGGACTAAACCACACATCTTCCCCAACTTTGCCTGCACATACACTGGCTCCTTCATGCTCGCCCCCGCACCGCAACGCCACGGGATGCAAGATAACTCTGGAGCCAGAACTTCACGGCTCGCTGCCTGCCGTCCGTCTGTCAGTCCGTCCGTCCTCCTGAACGCCAGCGGTGACAGCGGGCAGGAACGCGCCGGCTCCTCCGGGCGCACCGGGATTGAACTTCTTGATTCTCCTTTCTGACTCACGAGTCAGACGGATTTTCATCCGCCCTGAGGCGAGCAAAGCCCCGTGCAGGCTCCCGGCACGGGGTGGAGGAAGGAAGGATTGGGAGAGGAGTTCGTCCTCGGAGGGGTTTGACGCCACTGCGGGCCGGTTCGGGGGCGGGGGGCACGCACAGTCCGCTTCCCTGGGCTGCCACGGCGCTGCCTCCCCCCGCCCGCCCGGAGCCCGCCGCCCCCGACGGGCGCTGACCCCCGGCCGCGGGGGCAGCGCCGCCGCGCCCGTCAGGCGGCGGACACCGGGCGCGGGGGCTGCCCCGGCACCGCAGCGCCGCAGCCCGGGGACATCGGCGGCTCCTCGGCGGCCCGGGGAGGAGCGGGGATGGCAGGGTGGGAGCTCCCGGGCGGCAGCCGCTCCTCCGCTGGCAAACTTCGGCTCCGCGCTCGGCCCTCCCGCCGCGCCCGGGACGGGCTTAGGGAGAGCGTCGGTGCCAGCCCGGGAAGGGCTTTGCTGCTGCTCCCGCCCAGAGCGGGCACGGCCGCAGGGTCCCGGGACCCAAACCAGGGCGAGCGAAGACAGAAGTAACGGCTTTAACGAAAAAGACATTTCCCACACCTTGGGTTGTTGGGGGTTTTTTATTAGTTAGAGAACTTGGAGAAAGGAGACCTCTCTCCCTTTACTACGTACAAAATATTTTAATCAATATTTAGGTTTACCTCTCACTGCCCATTTCTCAAAAATGTTGTTTCCCTACACTATTTTTCTCATCACTGTGCGCTGTTTTGGGTCAGACAGTAAAATGTGATGCTCTCCTCGAGAAAGAAAATACATGGGGAACCCTTAACTGTTCACAGGTGGACACAGAGGATGAAGATTTACATAGTTGTGAAGCTTTTTTTAAAATCTGCCTATGTACAGGATCCTGTCGAGCCTAGTGACAGGAAGACATGTGCTCAAAACAGAAGTTTTCATCCCAGGAATTTCTGGTTCCTCAATTCCACACTGTCAGTTTTCAAAATAGTGCTCTTAGGAGATGCACTCAACAAGCTGCCGGCCGAGTCACATTGAAATTCACAATGGCAGCCAAGAAGGAGATCAAGTTAAGGACATTAGTTCATTTATTACACTGCCAATGTCATAAAACTGCATTGAAATGTAAATTTTCAATTTTTTTTTTCTCCTGAGCTTGTCTTTGCTGTATAATCCATACACTGAGTGGAGAAGAAGCTGAGCACATGCAGTTCTTATTTTAAAATAATACTATTTGTCCTTGTGTCTTAAATGCAAGATTATCAATGATCAAAATTGTTTTCTGATTAAAATAGAGCAGACAATCCACCACTAAAAAGGGATGCATTTTTTATTAATACCCACCAAACAATACAGATTAAAAAAAAATCTACATAGCACACCAATGTTTGAACAAACACAGTAGAAAGACACAAAAAGAGAACACTACTGACAGAGGTAAGAAACCAAACACAAAGAAGGATTGCACAGTTTGGTGTTCAGTATTGCCACATGTTGTCTCTGTGAGGTGACAACAGAAAAGTGAAGGGTCATGCCACATATTTTATCATGATTTATTATAAAATTTTTTTTTCATATAGTTAAACTTTATCTTATTCTTTTTAAATAACTATCAAATTAACAGATAAATTTTCACTGCTGGTTTGAAGAGAAATAGTTCTTCAAAACAGGGTACTGCTTTGCTTTTACTTCAATATATTTATCACCAACAATATATACACTTTTATGTCATAAACAGATATGATTCTTCCCAGGTAGCTAGAAAATTATTTACAACTGAATTCAACTACAAGCCATCTGATGAACTACCAATTTGTGTTACAATGCTTTTCTCCAGTATTGATTGTTATTATTACAAGCATTACTTTACCTTAGAAAGTTACAGTAGTAAATCTTGCTTTGTTTCAAGTTCGGTTTTCTTTTAAAGAGAGGTACTGAAATTATCTATTCAGATCTGCTGAGTTCAAAAGGCAATCACATCAGTATGTCACATTAAAATATACATATCTAGAAGGGAAATATCAAAGTCATTAAATGACTTTATTTGAGCTTTCTTAATAAATTTTAAGATATATTTGTATAAATATATACGTAGACCTAGTATTTATTGAACAATGCAAAGAAAAACCAGCATGCAATAAAAATAAAACATTACAGAGTGCATCAAGTATGCTGAAATCAAGTATCACTGAAGGCTGTAATTTCTTTCTTCATTGCCTAAGAAGAAAAAAAGACAAATTAGGAGTTAGTGTGAATACAAACTTAAGAACCCTGTTTACTACTTCATCAAAAGAAGCAAGAATCTGTGCACACAATTGTTAGTAATGATTTAGCCAATACATGTGCTACCACCATCACTGTTTTTCTATACTCACTGGCTCCAACACATCCTTATGCACCCAAAATAGAGAGAGAGCAGGCTAGGAAAACTGCAGGGATCTGTATCAGGGGACTATGGATCAATGGTGCTTTCAGCAATCAGAGAGGAGACAGTTCCCAAAGAGCCAGAGCTAAAAGCTGAACTGTTCTTTTCTGCACTCTGAATAAATACTTGTTAAAGTCTCTGTCTTCATACAGTAGAACTTACTCCTGGACTGACTTGTGCAATCCCTCTGAATAGGAAATATTCTTTGGTTAAATGTCAGAGAAGCAGAAAACAAAGAAATCAAGTTCTGTCACAAAAGTTCACAAGCACCAGGATAACAAACGTGCTAAATCATGTCATTATGATAGATAGAAGGGAGCATTTTTCAGGAATGGCATCCCTGAATCCAAGTAATCCTTGCTGTTGCACAATCAGAGCAAGAGCATCTGACTCTCTATCAGATGTGGAAGAAGAGATCAAGATGACCAGGACACAAGAGGCTTCCTGGCTGTTTTAAGGAGGACTGAGATGCATTAAAAATTTTTATCTTATGCATGACCACCTGGAAGACAAATGGATTCAAGGACTTTGAAGCTGAAGACTGAATATCCAACCTATCTAAATCAACTCAACACTGGGAATGACAGACTGGGACCATAGGTTCCCGTGGATTATTTCTGCCAAGTTCTGACAACTTGGAAATCCTCTCTTAGAAGGAGAGATTACAGAATTTGACTCGTTAGCATTAAACCTTCATAGGCAGGAAGCTCCCATATATGAAATTAAAGATGCTTGAGCCATTCTAGCTAAAAAGGAAGTCTGGTGAGACTAAAGTCTCTTCTTATTATGCCTCATATTTAGTCTCTTTTCAGGAATGGAATGACTGCTATACAAGTGTTACCATGTGTGACTGCCCGCAAGAGGAGAACGAGGAAGTGACAGACTGAGAAAAGCACCCTCCTTTCACAGCCCCCCCAGTACTGAAAAGGTACTGGAGCAGGAGTGGTGACAGACTGAGGTTAACTGCCTTGAGAGGGCTTTGGGGAGCACCCATCATCTTCAAACCCTTTCCTGCTGAAACTGCCAACAGCTAAGCCAAATGCAACAATAGTTTTGCAACATGGAGAAATGTCTTCCAGACTGTAATGAACAAATCTTGTAACACAGGCAACTAAGTAGCAATGAGTAATACTAAATAACCACGACATTCACAGGGCACACGTACATATGCATAACACACACACCTGTAATAATGACAGAAAGTGCTACAAGACAAAAAATTACCTTCACTAATTCGTTTTTGTCACCATCTTCCCGGTGTTGGTAAATGCACTGGCTAAGGACAGCATATAGTTTTTCCATGCGAAATACACTGACGTTCTCAGTTACCACGGCAATAGAATGCAGCACTTGCTGAAGAAAAGAAATGGAAACCAGAGTTCAGAAGCACAAGATAAGATGCAAACAGAAAAGGTAGGACAGGTGTATAGCCAGCTTCCCATGTGAAACTTTTTAATTGCTGCAGGGAAGTGACTGCACTCTCTTGTACATGTTCATCGAGTTCTAGCCCTATTATCAAGCAAATAAACACCGCCCCCCCCCAAAATCCCAAACAAAAAAAAAAACCCAAAATCCCAAACAAAACGAAGCAGTTACAGTTTGGAGAGTCACCCAGCTTACTCTCTGCAAGTGAATTCCAAAGAGGCTCTCTAACACAAGCAGTAAGTTCCAGTGGCACCCCTGTTAAGGCATCAAGTTTTCTAAAAGATGAATTTCATGACTGTAGCTCTGTCCTCACAGCTGAGAGCTCTGTAAGGGCTCTATGGTATCTCTGCAGGGGCAATACCTTCAGAGCACATGCTGCTGGCACCCTGACTAGAGAAACACGGATTGGCTTCACAGACAGACTTGAACAACACTTTCCTTGCAAGGTGAAGTGGAGGGACAGGCACTGATATCCATTCTCAGCTCTTTGGTGACCACTGACAGGACCCGAGGGAACAGCATGAAGCCGTGTCACAGGGAATTTTGGCTGGATATAAGGAACAAGCTCTTCACCCAGAGGGTGGTCAGGCAGTAGAACAGGCTCCTCAGGAAAGTGGCTACAGCACCAAGCTTGACAGAGCTCAAGAAACATTCAATGTTCTCAAGCTCATGGCAGGATTGTCAGGGGTGCAGTGACAGGAGTTGGACTCTATCCTTTTAGGTCCCTTCCAACTCGGGATATTCTATCATTCTATGAACACAACCCCATAAAATTTGCTTGCTTAGGAAGCCTGTCTTGAAAAGCTAATTTCTCTCTTCTCACTTCATTTCTTATCATGGCAGGTAAACAGCAGTCCCCTCTGGTTTGACCCACTTCCAGGGCCTCAACCTGGCAATTTCCTGAATTCTCCTCACTGCAACATCTCCTGAAGAAGGCCAGGTCCATCTACCCTCTCTAATTCATGCAAAGGAACTTCTTTGACCCCCTGAAGCTAGGCACACTTTTGACCCTTTCACAAACTATATTGTAGGAAAACAACTTCTCTTCTACAGGGGACTGGAAAAACCTTGTAACTCTGTACCTATATGAATGCAAAATTCTATCACTGGATTTTAAAAACATTTGAGAAGAGCACATATTAGTATTTTAGCCAAGATGACCTTTAAGTGAACCTGCTAACTTAAAAGTCATCTTTGCTAAAAATCAAGGTACTCTTTCAGTTCCTAATAAATGAAAACATGCAAACAGCAAGCCACAACAACCCCCCAGTCCATCATAAAAACTGCCAAGACACTAATAACCAAGAGCACTACAAGTTTGTCAGTGGGCTATTTTAAAATCTAACAAGCCCCTTTTACATTAAAAATAGGAGATAATCCAGTCTCCTAAAATTTAGTTCATCAAAAGGAAGAACAGCTGTGGAAACAACAGTCATAGTCCATTTTAAGTTCAATTATTTCACCAGCTATATATCCCTCCCATACTTTGTCTGAATTGGCGTTGGTTAACAACTCACTTAATTTACAACTCTGTATGTAGCAAGAAAATGTCCTACTTTGGTATTTAAAAAAGTAAAATTTAAACTTACTTTGAGCTCACAGGAATCCACAAACACTCTCTGTGTGCCAACTTTCATTGCTTTCCCAACACATCCCAGCTGTTTCTCTTCCACCTGAGAAGATCTTGCACGAGTCATACGATGTACCCACAAATCTAGAACAACACAAATTTCTTAAGTCAGGATTTCTCTCTCTGAAACACAGTATGACTGAAGTACCCTGTACTTGGAGAAGAGAACCTCTCTGCAACAACAGAGACAAATGTTACCATTTTTCACTGATAAATGCTTGACAGTTTTACCTCCTTTCTGGCAAAAATCTCTGCTCCTTGAAAACTAGAGACTTGAACACAAGAAAAACCAACACTGGACAAAACAGCAGGGGAAAACCAGGGAAAAAAAAATCCTGTTGCTATTACAGCACTGCACTGTAAAACTCCAAAGTAATTTAGATTAGAAAACACATCTTTGCAAACACTAGGACATAACGCTTCTATTCCACACATGACCCTGGGTGCACACTGTTTGAAGTACAACTTTTTAACTTATGCTTCTTATTGCTGGAAAGATCCTCATGCAATAAAAGAAAGCCAAGGATTGTTTTTCAGTTAGGTACCATTTGAAAAATAAACTGCAGAATCAGAAACTCAGCAGCTGCAGAAATACATGAGTTTGGCTAACATAACTCAAGGGGCAACACCATTATGCAAGAAACACTGTGTGCAATTTGAGAGAAAACTGAAAACAGAAATCAGGAAGGCTAACCCCTGGCAGGTAGTGTAACCCTCCTCAGGAAGAGCAAGGGGGTGAATGACCTGTTTGATCTCACACTTACCATCTGAACGTCTCTCTTCAGAAGTTCCGGCTTTTTGACAATCTGGCATCTCACTCTGCTCTCTTAGGTCCGAGTGTTCTCTCTTTTTTCCAGAAGGAGATTTGCCCACAAGAACTCTCTCTCTTTCATTTTCTGTCCCATTTTTCTGTCGTTCTTGAAGTACATTTTCATGTTCTTCAATAGGAGAATCCTGAGAGGATGCAAATTCAGTGCAATCTGTGTTAGACTCTTCATTGGTCTCCACTTCATTTTGGTCTTCAGGAATTTTATTCTCTTTATTGAACTGAATATGCCTCTTCTTCGTTCTAATACTTGAAGACTCTCTATTCCTTTTGCGTTTTCTTTTTGACTTATCTACAAAGAGATACAAGCAAAAGTAATCCAAAACATTACCAAAACAAGAAGCATGCTCATTTTACTTGTCTGACAAGGAAAATGACCAAATGAGATTAACTACCACTGCCCATCTCCCCAGACATGTGTCTAGAGAAGAAGCTGGAATTTAATGGGATCAGTTAGCAACTAGATTTTAAAAGATCCAGCTACAGAATTTAATTCACAAAACCAATAGCTTCATGAGGTTATGAAAACTGAAGTCTTATTGCAAAGCAAAGCAAGATTATTAAGTGACTTAGTAATCTGATATATGTGAACAGAAACATATTTGGAGATGAACCTTCAGAATCTGTAAACCTCACAAAAGTTAGATATACATTGGGAAGAGCTGAAGAGGCAATTTTTAGGGAGTATTTGCTGGAGAAAAAACTCCTCCATAGAGATTTACACCTCAGAAGCTTTCTGATTCAGTTAACCTTGTTCAATACAAACTTGTCATTTTCCCTTCCAGAAAACCCCACCATTCTTTGTACTCACGGAGTACCAGAAACCCTATGGGTCAAGTCAGTGGCAAAACTCCCAGACATGCCAGCAAGACCAGGACATGTCACATCATGTCATGTGTTTCAATCCCTTTTTTTTTCATGTCATATTCATGGTAATACTGAAGAAAATAATGTTCTTTCCCTTACATGTCTGTGATTATTGCTCCCCTTTTTTTAACCCTTTCCCCTTCAATTGGAAATCACAGGAATAGAGTTTAATGTTTGAGGGCAGGGAAGGGAAAAAGACTGTTGCATATAGCTAAAAACCAGGTAAGCATTCAGAAGCTGTCATGTACAACTCTTTTTACTTTGAGAGGTAGCAATGTAGGAGCCATTAAATATCACTTGGGCCACCAAAGCCAGTGTCTTACAATGTCAACCAGCCATTGTATTTGGACTTCACAACCATACTGAATGAATGGCCTCTGGATTTATCCCATGTTTTGCAGCATATTAAAAAATTTAATGCCTCTGGAATGAAGAACCAGGCATCACAGGAACCTGTTAGGTCACAAAAACAGAGGCTTCAGCACGTTCTCCAGGAAAGTCTGAATAAAAAACAACTTGCCTTTAGAGCAGGGGGTACTGACATCCACAGGCACAGCTAGCATCTTCAGTTTGTCATTACACTTTGGGTCTGTTTTCTTACACCCAGAGTCCTCCTTTGGCATTACACAGCAGTAAGAGGAAGCACAGTCTGAACCTTGCAATAAAGAAGAGAGAGCAAAGAATGGTGTCTTGCATGGCTGGTTACAAATACTGAGAACAGTCTTTAAATCCTCAGTGCCAAAACACATACCTCTTTGCCTATGAGATTCTTTGATTTCTTGGCAGCGTTGTTCAAAACCTTCATCCATTTCCTCCCTCACGATGGAATAGGCAGTGTCTCTCAAAGCACAGGCTCTGTGCCTAAGGAGACGATCTGAAATTTTACAGTCAGAATTGAGTACTTTCTACTAGCCAATGAACCCCTTTACTTTGTTTACTTAGAAAACCTTTCAGACAAGACAAAAAGCTATCTCAATCTTCTCAGCATGCCAACTGATAAGTTAATTTTTAAAGCAAAAGCAGTAGCTTCCAATCAACATATCTACAACAATTTCATGCCCAAATAAGTTTATTTGATACTACAACATTCACAGCCTGGCCAGAAATACTCTCAGGGGACCTTTTAAATTATCTAATCCCACATCTACTGTACACAAATGACATTTATCAACTTGCACATTTAAAATTTTTACAAATTAATGATAAAACCACATCCTCACCTCCAGGATCTTTAGCTGGGTTGTACTCTAAAGCATTGCTACAGATTAGATCAATGTCTTTTAGAAAGTCTCTTGCAGTTGGGTACTGGTGCATGTCAATCTTGGACAGAACTGTGGAGAGGTCCATGGGTTGTTTAATAACAGCATTGTAATCAGGTACCTACAAAGGAAATATACATGTTCAGAGATTTAACATAGCAGCCACCAAAAATAGTTATTTTCAAAAAGTCAAATAAAGGACTTCTAAAAAATCCCAATATGACACATCCAAAGATGCAGAAATTACCCAATTAGCTTCTTAAAAACAGAAAGATTATTTCAGCTGGCTTTCAAGAGACAGGCTAGAAGAGAGGAAAACAAAGAAGCAGGGAGGTGAGAAGAATGTGTGGGGTAGAGAAGGAAACCAGCATCCAGAGTGGGACTTGTTTCACTTCCTTTCAGAAAATAACAGCAAAAAACCATTTCTCAGTAAAGTCACCTGAAATTCTCTTTGGTTTTGGCAGCAAGAAAAAGGCTGCAGGAACTGCACCATTGAAGCACCTGTCCTGGGCACCCAGAATGAGATAGCTAGATCCTGAGATGCCAATTTCTTAATTCAGACAATAGAAGGAGCCTAAGGACTAGCTCAGATGAGGACATCTATGTTTGTTTAGATTATTCTGATCTAGAAATTACAAGGAAAGGAAAGAAGTCAGTGGACATGGGGGGAAACAGGACCTTGTGGAAGTGCAAAGCCATCTCAAATTTCCAGCTGACTTGGAAGTATGTGTCCCAGCCTATACTTATTTAATGAATTAAATGAGAAGCATATGGGAGGAAGAAAAAAATCACACAGCCTTTATGGTTGATCTTAAAGCAAGGAAAGCCCCCTGAGAACAGAATCTGAAAATCTGACAAATTGCTGCTTCTACTCCTGTTCTTGCAGAAACTACAGACAGACAATTAAAGAGCTTTACATTTTATTAAAACAGCCCTGGAAGTCCTGTTTATAATTACAGAGAAAAAGAGAGATCTCTCCTTTTTAGTGCTGTAATACACCTACATATCAAAGCCTTTTCACAAGCAAACAGTGTTGGCATTTGATATAATTGGCACTTGGACTAGATGATCCTTGTTGGATGACCCTTCTAATAGAAATAATCTCAAGTTTTCAAGAGGTTTTAGAAGGAACACAGGGACACTCAAATAACGGACCCAGAGTGACCCAGAGTCAAAAAAAGTAAAAGCAAAACAAAAATTCACTTCCCATATCCTGAAGGTTCACAATACTATGATCCTAAAGACAAAGATAAACCTTCCAAGAAAGAACACACAAACACTGAGAAACACACAAACAGAGAAATTGTGAATACACACAGATATAACAGTATTGCAGATGAACACTGAATTTACCTCCTCTGGGTCAACAGGTTTTGTGAATGCCCTGAAACGTCTGTCAATGACAAGTCTGTGAGTCACATCCCTTAGGTAAATCCTCAGCTCACGCAGCGTGTCCTCCTCCTGCTCCTCCAGCTGTTTTATTTCTTCCTCTGACAGCTGTCGAGGCTTTGGTGGCGGAGCTACAGGCAGAACTTCCAGTGGCTGCCGAGCTTAAATTAATTGGAAAATTTTAGTCAATTAATGGTACTCAAATACAAGCACATGAAAAATAATTGATATAAAATTACCCCAAAGGAAACACTGTATTGTATTAGCTGTTAACTTACTGCTAGCTTATTATATTTTAAATATCCTCACCTGAGTTGTTTTTTGATGCAGGAGGTTCAGCAGCTTGCTTCATAACTAAGTCCTCAAAAAAACTTCTTCTTTCAGCACAGGTAGGCCACTGGATTTTGAAAACTTCTTCACAATCATTATTAAATAAAGCTTTTATCTAAAGCATGAGGAGGAAAGATATTTCACATATAAGGCCATACACATTTTTTGTAATTTTTTATATTCTATTCCAAAAAGCTGAGTACCTTTCTAAACTAAAGTGAATACTCATCTGAGTAAGATAAGCTACATAAAGTCATCTTCTTGGCTTTAAAAGGCTAAATTTTCATAGCATAGCAAATTAAAATACCTGTTCTGAGGAATAATACCATCTAAAGTTTAGGCTCTAAAAAAAAAAGATGTGATAAACCACTGAGTTGGCAGTCCCCACTTCCAAGGTCGGTGATTTTGTATTTACCTGCCTTTCTGTTCTTTAGCTTGAATCTTTATGGCAGCTATACAGGGAATGGACAAGGTTCAACATACAAGTGCTAGCTTTTTGTTAAGGTGGCTTTTAAAATTATGTTTTCATTTAAAGTGTCTAAACTTGCATATATCCAGGTTGTACTCTGTTTTTCCATCTCTGTTACCAAAGGGTATGGAAATAATTTAATTCCTTATTTTAGAAAGCATTTAACAACATCACAGTAACTTTTGCTGCCAAGACAAAACAATCACAGCATCATATTCACATTTTGAACACCTTCCTTTAACACACTCTGATGTTGTTTCTGAAATCCCAGTGCAGCTTGAGGGGACTGGGGAGGTAATTTTACCACCACAAATATCTAGAAAGCTCAGCAGATAGTTTACTGGATTTTGTTAAGGAATACAACTAAAAATTGATTTCCAAGTTACTTAAATGGAAGTTGGACTTTATCTTTCCAGTATGTCAAGTTTGCAGCTACCAGCTGTAAAAAGAAACTGAAATAATAACGAAATTATTTAAATTTGAAATTACATTCCATCAATAACAGTGTGACTACTGTACTTTTGCAGTAAAAATATCTTTCACTTTTCAGTAAAACAAGCTTTTCCCTATCTCAAGCACTGTATATTCTTTACTAAGCACACACCTCACCATCTTGCAGTCACCAAAATGATTGCCTGAAGCAAATTTGTACATCCGTCTAATAAGCATCAGTGTGTGAGAAGGGTGAAAGAGCTGGGTTAAAGTCAATCTTTTTATTCAAAAAACACTTTAGACAAATGCTTTCACACCATTGTTTTGTCTAAGCAAATTTTAAGACACTTTTAAGAGTGTTTGTGTGCCTAAATAATAACAGCATGAATTCATTTTAGAGCGGCACAGCATTCCCATGCTTCAAGGAGTTATAAAGTAACAAGCAAAAAGAAGCAAAAAAGGAAGAGTAAAAAAAGTATCAATAAATACCTCTTCAGGGAGATCTCCATGTTTTACATCAGTTGTTGCAAGGAGCAGAACCGGAGCAAAGGTTGGAATGTTCTGCAGCAGTGTTGTAAATACAGCTTTCACTGTAGGTCCAACAGTCTCCCACCACAAAGGGATTTGTGGGACATAAATGATACTTGGTGCTGTTCTTTGAGCCTCTCTCATCAACTGGCAAAATGAAAGCTCAGGTAAGACAACTACATCCTGCAGAACAGGATTCTAAAACTACACATCAGTCAAACTGTCTTATGAAATAGGAGTACATGAAGCTAAAACATCAAGACAAATCAATAAATTAACTATTCCTTAACAATAAGGTAAAATTTTCACTTTGATTCAAACACAGACATGGCTACACAGACAGAAACAGACTTGAATTTCTGCCCAATTTCAAAACTTCTTATGTGTAAGAGAACTCTTAAGGAGCCTCAGCACTCAGCCAATCTGGTGGCGTGCCCAAAAAAACACAACCAGCCCTTCAGCAAGATGTATTAGCCTGGAGAAATTGCCACACAACTGCAACTACAGCAATTTCAGTTCAGAGCACAGACTCAACAAAGACCTATGTGAGAAGCCTGCTTACAATGCATCATTTCAAGCACATTTTATAAGAGGTGACCATTCTTTCATCTGCCTGAAGAGCTAAATCAAAACTTACTACCAAAGCATCCATCAGACCAGATGATATGCTTTGGAAGAGCACAAGCCACTGCTTACAGATGGCACCTCAATCACAGGAGACAAAATGCATCTACTGCCAGAGGGAAGTGACAAATTTCTCCATGTGCCCTCTCAGATTAACAATATTCAGAGAGTTCCTGTCAAAAGGTGGGGAAGCACACATGGTATCTCCAGGCAGTCACTACACAGGGTAGTTACTCATCCACAGATGCAACCATCACAAAACAAAAGGAAAATTGCTCCTCCTATGTGACAAACGAGCCATGGAATGTGTCTGTCCTGACTCCTACAGCTCTCCAATGCTGCTACTAAATTCTGTGAATTGTGAATTCTGTGAAGGTAAAAATATTTTAATACAGAAATGCCAGAAAACAACATGTATTCCCTGACTAAAACTAAAAAAGAAGGAAACCAGCACTAATCTGGTTATATTTAATTTTCCCAGTGATGGAAAGCACACCAGTGTAACAATCTAAGTGTTATAGGAATTTTAATTCCTTTACTGCATGTACTGCAGTGCTGCAAGCTGTCTAAGTAAAAGAAGAAACCCTTTCCCCCCAAACCTTGACTGTCCTATGAATATAATAAAAAACAGGGCTTCAGAAAGTGCCTGATGCTGTCAGGCTGATGCAGAGCCATCTACTGAGAGCACAGAGGCTTAAGAAACAATGAAAATTTCCTGGATCCAACACAGACCAGCAGGATTTTTTGCCACAGAGTACTTTATTAGCAGCACCTCCCATCTTCCTGAGCTGCTAGCAACACCCTCACTGCTTCCTTTCAAAAGGAAAACATGACTATGTACACCATCCTTATACAGTATCATTCCATCTAGAAAAAAAGTGGATTTCCAGACAGAAGTAAACATAAAAGCCTATTCCATCCAGGACTCCTCTATTAACAATGAATTTTGCTTATTTCACAAGTTTACATACAGTTTATATTCAGTTCATGAGTCATACCAGATTAATGAGAAAAAAATATACCTGTGCACATGTTTCTTCTGGGGATGTGATGCTAACAAACAAAGCAGGCAGGTCTAGTGTATAAACAGGAAACTTCTCCAGGGCATGGATTACTGCAGGTGCCAGATGAAAAGCCTGCCCACACCCTGGATCTTCAACTAATAAGAACCGTGGCCTGAAAGATGTTGGCTGGCAACGAGGATTTCTACAGCAGAACAGTTTAAAAACAAGTGATTAATAGGCACGCAGATGTTGACTTTTCTTCTATATGCTTTCTTTTGGTAAATACACTCCATGTTCCACCAATAATAAGCTAGTTTGATTAGGAAGACTATCAAAGCCTATTCTCTCAAATCTGGTACCATGCCTCCACTAAGAAATCCTGCCAGGCCCCAGCATGTCTCCCATTCCTTTAGCTGGGTTAAGTAAGAGCTCTTAAATCCTTCAGGGAAGCTGTCCAGCCAAATACACACACAAAACTGGTCAGTGACCTGATATGGGGCAGAACAACAACTCTTTCTTTTCTAAGCACAAACCAGTTCTGGGTCTCTTCACTCCCTGTACACTACCATTTTCAATGGGTCTTAACTTTAAGTAACTGAGATCTCTGCACCTGCCAAGTTTAGCTAAAATTTGGCTGTAGTGCCTGGAGATGGTGGTAAGGAAGAAGCATACCAACATTTCTAGGAAAAAAATTAATGTGGGCACTGAAATACATTAGCTGTATGTGAAGAAGCACACAATTGGATTGGTTAAATTACTTCTATGGTTTCCTCTTTGAATTGTCTATTAATTTCCTAATCATTTTATTTTATGAGCATGAAACACAATCGTGAAAAGGTTTGTGGGTTTTTCTACCTCAGGACTATTGTACCTTGCTGAAGTCAAAGATCTTAGAGACTAAGCTCAGCAGGTTACATTTTACATTTTCTGGACAGCAGAGCAATAGAAAGGGAGAAGAATATCTGATGCAACAGTGACGCTCAGGACTATTGTACCTTTACTTGCTGAAGTCAAAGATCTTAGAGACTGAGCTCAGCAGGTTACATTCTACATTTTCTGGACAGCAGAGCAATAGAAAGGGAGAAGAATATCTGATGCAACAGTGACAACAATCTACTGCTTCAGCTGTTGATTTATAAAACTTACACAATAAAACATCAAAAGATTAACAAACTCTGTAGGTTAAAGGTACAAAATGCAGACATTGTTTTTTGCACATTGTTTTAATGAGCCATTTCTCAATTTTATTTCTGATTTAACTATCTTGGAAGGCAGAAGGGAAAAAGATGTCTACACAAATCCTTAGGGTTCTTTGTAGCTAAAAGGGCAGACAGCACATTTTTTGGGTTTTGAACCTTTGGATTAAAGCAACATGTTCTAATAATCTGTGGACCACTGACTTAGGCAAATAAGGCAGGGCCAGTCAGTTTGATGGGCCAGAGCAGCTTATTCAGTTAGAACATTAGTACCAGTTAGATCTTCACACTTATTTCTTGCAAATATTGACCAACCCCCACATACCCATCACTCCTTCATCCAGCACCCCTCACAACAAAACAGTTTACAGACCCAGCCATCTTAAAAATGTAAACATAAAAGGGACAAATGAAACCTGTTTAAAGTGAGGAATTCTGCCTTTTCACGATCAGGTACTTTGTGAGTTGGATTCTCTTCAAAGATTGATGGTGATTCCTCTTCACTGTCAATCACATCATTTCCTGAAAAGAGGATTTAAAGATAAGAGCTTTGTTGACTTTCCTGAATAATTCAAATCTCACTCTTGCATTAATACAGCTTTGAAATCAGTGCAGGAAACCATTCTCTTGTATTTCATTTGAGGGCATACACTGAATGCTATTTTCTGAAGGGTTCATTCTACCACAAATGTAAGGAGATGGCACAGTTTCCACAAAGCTGTCCTATGTCCCACAATTTGCATCAGGTTTCTCTGTTGACAAAAACTTGGAAGTTTTCTTTTCCTTGGAATAAATTTGACGAGGAACAACTTCTGTACTTCCTAGACACCTGAAAAATCCAATGAGGCCACAGCTTTTTGAAACTGTTCTCCCACCAAATGTGAGGAAATTAAGTGAATGTATTCACCACAGACTTCCATTTGTCCACAACTAGTCAGAGTATAAAGACCCACACGACTTCTAAATAAAGCTTCTCAAAGATCACGAAAAGGAGAGAGAATGGGAAGAGGACAACAGATAGGGGGTGCAATTATCCATCTCCAACCCCCAGTGCTTTCATTATGTTGGTGGGTCTCTGCCTCTGTTTCATCAGCACAAACAACCCCAGCTCTGCCAGGAGTGATACTGGGAGAACACACTCCAGAGATTAGCAAAGTAACTAATTACTCACAGACTTCCATTAATCAAGAGAGTGTGTATTCATATTGATTTGTTCTCATCAACTGACAAACTAAACCTGATCAAGGCTGATGCAGTGAGGAGCACGAGCTCACCTATGCTATGGGAGCCAAGCCCTAAAGTACAACTAAAACACTGTATTGAAAGTCACTCCAGCTGCCACCCAGCACACTGTACGTGCAGGTTATAAAACTGAACTGTCATTATGGCTGAAGGGTTTATATGTGTTACTGTACATATCAGAAGCTTTTGCTTTGGCAGAATTTTAAATGCGTGGATGCTGTTGTTATACCTTGCTGTTGGTCCTTCTTCAGTGCAAGCTCTGCATGGGGAAATACTCTTTGTAAGGCTTGTAAAATTCTTTCCAATGTGTTTTCTAACAGTGGTTTTAAAATAGGTGATAGTGCTCGCCCAGGTGAAGCCACAGCCCTCTGTGAAGCTGGAACAGTCTTCTGCATGGCCATGACAAAATCCTTTGCTGTTATTTTAATCGAAGAGATGTCTAACTGCAGCTTCTCACTCCTTTCATATATCTGAGGATAGCGGCGGCGCAAAGCACAGAGAGCAGCTTCAGCACATAAGGCTTTAATATCAGCACCACAGTATCCTAATGAACAAAACAAGAATCAAATGTTGTCAGGATCAGGCAACACCAAAGTCAAGGCCAAGAATTCTAAAGTGCAACAATGAAAGACTTTGCATGCAGCCAAAAATTAACACGGTACGATTTAAAGAATACTGCACTGCAGAGAACATGTGTCTAACAGCCTGATATCTTGCACTAAGGAAGCAACTCCCTAGTCAAAACTTTACTCCTGGGAAAGAGGGCCTAAACCCAGTGTTCTCAGAAAAAAAAGAAAACTGAAAGCAGCATCTGTCTTGGTTTGCTCTCAAGACATGCCAGAAGCGTCATGGCCTCACTTTACAGCAAGGCACAATAGCTCAAGTACTGCCTGGAACGAGCTCCGGTTGCCCACGACTCAGCCATGCAGTGACCTACAGTGTTTTCAAACTCACCAACACATTTCTCAGCCAGCTCTTCAAGAAACTTGTCCAATGGCTTGAGGGTCCAGTCTCGTGTGTGAATTTTGAAAATCTCTTTTCTTGCCTGAAAACAAAACACTTGCATTTTAGTTTGCGCTAAATTTTCTCTGAAAACAACCACAGTACAAAACCCCCCAAACCCTCACCCTAACACAAATACTTTTCTTGTCTGCTAAACTCTGAAGTATTTTAAAGGTTAGTTAATATGCTCTGTTTTTTCAAGCAGGAAATTTTCTAGTTCTAAATTTGTTACATTAAAATCTTGCTGGGGGCTCCAATGAAGTAAAAGGCATTTACATCTTCCATAAAAAAGTGAGTTTTCATAAATGTGATCCTGAAGAAAACACTGTAGTAAAAAACCCAAACTTAACTTTAAACAGATTTCTTACACAAAATTCTCTCAAATTCAGCAAAATTTCATGGCTGCAGTCTCATTAGTTCATCAAATTTGCTCTTCTGACAGGCTCATGCAAGGAAAACAGTCCTAACACTCCAATGCCAGTTGCTACTGTTGCTATCAATTAGAACAATAATTATGATTCAAATTACTGTTACCCATCCAGAAAATGTAAAATGTTGCCTATTCCCATCTCTGATTTTAGCAGGATTTTCATTGAATTATTTTGTGGCACACGGACTAACTATGGCAGATTTCTAAAATTCTTCCACAGTGGGGAAGTGTGCATTAGATCTGTTTCATGGCACCTCCTCTCCTGTTACTGACAGCAGATTAAAAACTGGAGAAAAATGTTTGTGTTAAATGCACTGTTTAGTGCACTTTTACCAGCATTCAATTCAGCACTTGCCAGAAAGGGCTAAGAAAAAGAACTAACAGTGACAGCCAGAAAGAAAACACAAAAACTGCGTTCCAGTTTTGCTTGCTACCCCCACCCACAAGATTTTTTTCATTGCCTATTGTGATTAACTAGAAGCTTCCCTAGCCCTGCACCTGTGCAGTGACTTTACATTTTTGTCCTAGTCCCTATTACCGAGTACCAGTAAGAACATCAGTTCCTAACATACTTAATTGGTTCCAGCACCAGCCTGGATCAAAGCTTTTGTTACTAAAAAAGAATTCTTGTCTGCACACCATTTCTTTCAATTTCACAATGCTACAGCAGTTCTTCTTAACTAGTTCATAAAGTAATTTTTAAACATTTTGGCGAGTAGCAGCACCCCATTTTCTTCACTGGATGCAGAGAAACCAAAACTAATAATTAGAGGACTACCTATTACAATCATCTTAATGATATATATTCAGTGCCAGGTCTGCGCTCCACAGTACAGCACACTCTCTCCAGTGAGCCCTCTTTTGTCCAAGCAGTACAAAACTGAGGAGACTTTCACTGCTCCACAATCCTGCTGTGTTGCAAGAATTTGTTACAAAGATGGACTCTGCTACATTAAGCACTGAGGTTGAGTTGAAGTACTGACCTCTTTGTTTGGCAAGCTGAAGAGAAACTCTCGATCAAAGCGTCCTGGTCTTCGTAAAGCAGGATCTATAGAATCCAGCCTGTTGGTGGCTCCAATTACCACAACCTCTCCTCTGCTGTCTAAGCCATCCATAAGTGCCAGAAGTGTTGATACAACAGAGCTAAGAGAAGAATACAGTTTTTACTCAGCAGTTAATTTTCTTCAGCTCCACATAGTCACCAATGCACACTCAAAGGACAAGCTCTTATTGCTAAAATGCTGACTAGAAAAAGACAAATCAATTTAAGATATAACAAAACAGATAAGGTAACACAGACTTGTGGTGGTATCAAGCTTAGTGAATTGCTTTTAATTACTATTTAAAGGTTATCTGAAATTAAGTAGTACTGAATCACTAGTTTTCAGGATAAATGAATGTGTCATATCAGGTTAAATAGTTTGTGGTCTTCTTATCACAAAATCAAGCAGCTTCTATGTTGACAGAAAACATGCCCTACCTATGAACTTGGTCTTGTTTACTGGACCGTACAGGAGCAAGACCATCAATCTCATCAAAGAAAATAATTGAAGGTCGCATCTGGTAGGCCTACAATGAAAACACAGGAATATTGACATCAGGAAAACAGCACTGTTTGGAGAAGAAATGCACAAACAACACTGCAGTTGCAAAGTCACTGGAAGTAGATTTTTCAGACCAGCATCAGGGATTTCTACTCATTGATCTAAAGTAGTGAAGTGTTGTGAGTAACAGAAGGCAGGAACATAGGTCAACCCACTGAGATGGGTGTCAGGAAACAAATCACACCACTGGTTTTTACAGCTATTTGACAACCATCAAGAACAGAGCCAGGACTTAATTGTCTGACAGGTTCTGGAAACAGCCTTTGTTACCAATTTCAAAATAACCATGCTTTCAGCCTGCATTTGTTTCCCTTTGATCAAAAGTCACCACTTCTTGAAAGCTTTTTTGCAGCTGTTTGGATTTTTCTTTCCTGAGGCAAGGAGCTGGGGGTGTGTATTGCTTTGCAAGGTTCTCTTGACTCCTTTACTAACTTTTCCTAATTAATCTCAAGACTTCCAGCCTCTAAAAATGTTACTGAAAATGAAACACTGACAATCCCATTTCCATGGAAGGAGTTGAGAAAAAAAAACAAAACAAGAATTGCTCTTGACCACAGAAAGTTAGTTACAACCCAGACAGAACATAATGCATATTTCAGCTGTACCTGATCAAATAACAAACGAAGCTGTCGTTCCGATTCCCCAACCCATTTACTCAGGCAGTCAGCACCTTTTCTCATAAAAAAGGCTACTCTCCTGTCACCTTGGCTACATTCATTAGCAAGTGCACGAGCAACCAGGGTCTTTCCAGTCCCTGGTGGACCATAGAATAGACAGCCTCTGCAATTAAACAAAAAAAAAAAATCACGTAAGAAAAGTATAATAGAAAAGTATCTGTGACCACCCCCTCATCCCTGAAGCACAAAACTGTTCTCTCTTAAACAAAGGTCTCTTCATTGTTTGTTATACTTTTAAAGTTACTGAAAACAAAGAATCTGAAGTCCTGTTTCAATATACCACCACTGAGTGTTAATGGCCTAGAATATACAAATCTAACAATTAATCTCTAATAATTTCATTTCATAACAAAGAACCCATTCAGCTGTGTAAAAAGTGGACAGATGCATTTTTAGCCCAAGCACAGCACGGTCATAGTTACAAGTCCCATCTATTGTAAAGCTGATACTGGAACTCTTGAAAAGAGTTGGGGAGACAGACAATTGGACTTCCACAAAACAAAACTGCAGCTGACTACCACTTACAGGCTGATCAAGTCCACTTGCATGTAGAACTCAAAACCACTCCACCTCCCTGTTTTTGAAGGTAAGACACTTTTAAGACACAGTATCACCACACTACAAATCCTGGAACCTACATGTATGCTGGATTCTATCCTTTTTTAAAACATTACTTTTTTCTACTGCTAAAAGAACCCAAAAGCATCAACACTTAAAAATCTGAAGCATGGAAACACAACAATACTTCAGTTGAATATTTTCCTGCAAATAGGTGAATTAGAATTTACATTTTAAATGGCAACCCTTACCTTGGAGGTTGAATTTTGAACCTCTCAAAGACTTCTGGATAAAGCAATGGAAAAACAACCATCTCTTTTAAAGCAGAAATGTGGTCAGCAAGACCACCAACGCCATCAAATCGTACCTAAAGATGGAAACAACAGAACACATTTTAGATGTTAAAGCTGCAAGCTTGATAAAGTTCCATCAGAAATTAGACATCAGCACAAAGGAAACATTCATGCCAGTTTTCAAACTGCTTGAAACAAAACTGTAAGCCAAGGCAGTTATAGACAGCACATTACTGTACAAAAGGTTTCATAATTACTGAAGATGTCTCATTGACACAATGAAGCAAAAACACTTACTGAACAATCTATTTGCACTGGATCAACATCAGCCAGACTCGCTCCGATTTTCATGCGATCTTTGTGAACTCCCTTTAAGTCACTTTTACGAAAGTTGACAGGAAGAGACCTGATTTGAATTAAGGAGAAAAAGAAAGGTGCTTTCTAACTTACAATGTGGATTTCTGTTTTTCTAATAATAGCAAGTGAATGCAGAAAATCTTAAAAATGAGTGTAAACTTTCTGAATTGTTAAATATTCGTTCCTGCTGTTTTATGTTTAATGTCCGTGAGTAAAGAAAGGAAAATGGCCACTCCAGATATTAAACTGAATTAATTATTTTAACAGTTCTTAGCACTTAAAAATATAAATGCCAGTCAATAGATCATACATAGGAATACAAGCTTAAAACAAGATATTCCTTATTTGCAGACCTTGGACTAACAATGATTCATGTGAGGAAGAAACTGCCCCTCTTGACCCCCAAACACACTGATATTTTTCAAATACTTTTAACTCCTATATTCAAAAAGTTACAGTCCAAGCCGATACTTATTTCAGTTGGTTTTAATATTATAAAGGCTGCCTATCACTCCAGTCCTTCCCAAGGCCCTGGAACCTGTGTGCCAATAGACTACTCTGAAAGACATGTGAGACATCAGGCTGAAAACATATCTGTCAGACTGTTACTAAAATAGGCTTTTCTAGAGCATTTGTTAAGAAACCAAATCCCTGCCATTTCCTCTATTTACAACATCCCCTCTTATAGTGGCTTTCTCTCTGAATCAGCTACTGTAAAGCACAGGAGCAGCAGAATTTTACATTAAGAAATTTCATCAGTGTTGCTACCCTGCCTTCCCACCTAGAAATCAAACTGTTTATTAAAATCAATTCTAAAAATCCAGTTGTAGAGAGTCCAGTTACAGTTGTATCACCAGATACAATTGCCAGAATTTAGAAACCGAGCAAGATGAACACGGTAACGCTCCACAGTTAGGAAGATGTACAGTCCTCCCAAGCAGTCTCCTTCCCCCCAGTTCTCCAATTGCATTAACCTTCTTAAATTTCTGTTCTTCCTCTGCCTCTCAAACTCCTCTTCATCATCAGATGAGGAAGAGGAATCACTGCTGGGCACTGTGTGTCTCCGTCTGCAAACATTCAAACAAACAATTAAAAAATTAAAATAAACAGTAAGTAACATCAAAATTGAAGTGAACACTATCTCAGTTTACTTTGAGATCTAATAAGTTTCCAGATTACTGTATTCTTTATGAATCTGATTTCAAATTACATTATGTGATTTTCCTAGTGACAGCAAAATTTCATTTTTATTAGGAAGGTAAAATGTTTAACCAGCGTGCAAAGAAATTTCTTAACCAAGTTACTCTTTTTATCCACATGCTCTCACCTGCAAATCAAGTTTCATTTAGCATTATGTATCTACTCTGTGAAACACCAACCTCCTAATTTCAAAATTTAGTTTCAAAATTCCCTCCTTCCATAACTGCCTAATTTCAAGGATGCTAAATAAAGCACTCTATCTAGCAAGGAATGGCATTCAACACTTGCAGGATGCTAAGCCCATTTGTCATTACTATTGCAATTTGCAATTCAGAATTTCATTTAGCATTTTTCTTGCTTTAAGTAGTGTTTCACACAGAAACTGTAACTGATTCCAAATAAAAACCAGAATCAATACCTGAGTGATTAAAAAAAAAAAATCATTAAAACTTCCATACTCTCTCTAATGAAATTGTTTTAGTTTTAGGAACATAATTTGCATCCTTCACGATAAAACAGTCAGATTTTCAGAGACAGATTTTGGCTTCAATTCCATAACAAATTAATTCAGTTACACAATTTCAGCCATAACCCTCATCAATCCCAAAAAAACTGCATTTTCTAATAAAATCTAATGGCCAATGAATTGGATGGGCTTTCCTCCAATATTTGCTTTCTTTACTGCCTCAGATTACCACAGCAATGACTATACTGTTAACATCTAATTACCAAGAGAGTCCAAAAACTCTTGAAAACCATATTCAGTCATGTGACTGACAACACTACTGAGAAAGAATTATCACTAACCGAACTCATACCTGTTAGCTCCCTTGCATGCATCTCTCTGTCTGACAGGTGAAGACCTGTCTGAAAAATACATCTTACGTTGTTTTGGTTCTGTTCAAAGTAAAAAAAAAAAATTGGAACAATGTTACAAGCAAGTTCAAGAGAAAGCAGGATACTAAGAGGCAGAGAATGGGATGTGTATCACCCATCTCTAAGTTCTAGGGAAGTTTCAAGGGTGGGGAGGAAGAGATTGTTTTTTAAAATCAGTGCACAATAAAAGCAAAAACATACACACCTGAATTTTAAGAACTGAAAACCAGTAGAGTAAGGTCATCAACTATGTTTACTTACTATTCTTTCAAGGATACATAGGTAGTATTTTTATTGAAAAATAACAGTAAGGATGCCAAAAAGCAAAGAAATAGAATGTGCAGAGGATATATGCATTTAACAAAATTGCAGTTAAGATATTTGAATAAAGTTTAGTGTGTGTACATATTTTCATTCTTAAAAAACCCCATAACATTCTCACTTCCATGCAAGAAATTAGTTCTTAAGAGAAGTTGTGCCTCTAACCTACTTTGCAATGGAGCTTGATAGCGCTCAACGGTTTTCCTCTGCCGAAAGGAGTAACGCTTCCGATTGTCTTCACCATCATCTTCTTTGGCTTCACTTTCTTCTGAGGAACCCCCTGCACATCAACATTACATTGCACTGTTTAAGTACTGTTGCAAATGATATTAAATTCAAAATGCACTACATCACATGTATTTCCACGTGTCCACAACCTTTCCTGCTGTAAAAGCTTTGGACAAACAACTTCTCTTTTCCTCTGAAAACCTGTTCTGAGCTCACTATAGTACAGCTCTAGAGTCTGTAACTATGGCTTGTAATGTCAGTAGCAGCATAAATTATTTTCAATAGATGAAAAATACCCAGTAGTTCATCCCATCTCAACTAAAGACAAAGCTTTTCGCTAGAGCACAGTCACGAAAACTTAAAACAGACTTATCCAACAATGCTACCTTGATTATCAGCTATTTCTTCATCAGTCCTTTCCATATCGAGGCTTTCCAAAAAAAAACAAAAAACCAAACATCTAAGACCAATCACAGAACATAAGCAGAAAACCTGTGGGCATATTTGGTGCCAATACTGTATCATTATCGAGGCACTCCCTATACACAAAAGGAAGATTAGTGTACAGCAAGAGAGAACAGGAATATCATTCTGGAACCCAGGATTAGTAAGATTAGTAACAAGGGTTTCCACTCTAAAATAGGAATGCAGATGCAAACAAAAAAAAATCTATAAAAGCAGGCTATGACAATGTTTAGAAAACAAAGTAACTGCCATTCAAAAGGACAATGGACTAACTTAAATAAAGTAAAACTAAAAGAGAAGAAATATGATGGGTGTCTATCATTTAACCATGAGTTTCTCTTGGGGAAGGGAAATCATCTCCCTATGTTAAATACCCTACTTATAGAACAACAGCAAAATAAATTAGTATCTACTTCTTCTGTGTCTTGGAACTCCTCCAGGTCTCCCATCCTTCGCCGTCTGCGCATCTTCTCCATGTCATCCATTTTTTGCAAGACTGCTTCTGCAGTACTAAAATACAAAGTTGACATATGAAAGCAAAAATAGGCAAGTACAGAAAAAGCCCATTTAGAACAGCACACATAACCATCATATTTTAATACAGTGTGCACAATACAAGGCATTGACACTTAGCCAAAATTTCAAAGCTCCTTAAAAATTAGGTCAAATGTTTACTTTTTTATAGAGAATTAAGAACAAATGTATGAGTATATGCAAACATACATTGTTTTCAGGTTTATTTTCCCCCTCTTGATGAACACAGTATTTTAGCAGAAAAAAAGAATTCTGAAGATCACAGTAAAGTAACAAAGAAATTATGGCAGTTTTTCATAGCACTTAGGTTGCTCTGCATGATAGCACTGTGTCACTTGGTTCACAGCCTTCTTCAGACAACAGATTGCTTCTCTACACTGCTATTTAAATTTCACATTGATTTTCAATGACTACTTATGCTAGACACAACATCTTTCTGCGGTTACACTTTGAAAACCTTTCAGAAAACAGATCAGAGTTTGGGCTTCACAAAGGGAATTAAGCTATAGACAGGCAGAAACACTTGGATTACTTCACTTTGCCAGTATCCAACTTTCCTTAGTATCTTAAGTTAAATCTACTAAAAGTCACAACGTAAACTGACTGTTTTGGTTCACAACATATAAACCTACCCAACCCCTACATACCAGAGCAGGTGGCTCAAAGCCCCAACCTGACCCTGAACACTTCCAGGGACGGGGGCATCCACAGCTACTCCAGGCAACCTATTAATGTGCCTCAGCACTCTCACAGTAAATAAATTCTTCCTAACATCTGATCACTCAGCTACAGCAGCTCATAGGAAGTCTCAACCTGACCAGTGAATGCAATAAACTCTTGCTGCCAGGAAAAACAATATTTTTTCCTGTTGTCAAAAGAAGGAGAGAGTCCCTAGCCGATATTTTACCATAGTACAAAGGGCTGCTGATAAGGCTCACGGTAGCAGCTTTGCAAGATAGTGAGAAAAACCTCCTTACTTTGTTATAAGTTTGTCAAACAAAACGGATTCATTGGTAGTGGCGTAACGGCTTTGTCGAAGCCTGCAGCTGCGGCGAACCTCCAAATCCCCGTTTTCCTCGTGGACTTGCTCTGCAGCTTTTGCATCAGCTCTGGTCTTCAGTGTCTCGGACACTAAAATGCAATAATACATAAAACTTTCTGTGATGGAAAATATGTCAGTCCCTTTATTTCACTCTTGCTCTACGAAAATGTAAACCCCCCCACCTTTTATTTTAAAAATTTAAATACTGAATTGAAAGTTATTTTCATGATCACAGCATTCAACTTAATGTATTTCTGCTAAAACTACACATTTAAAAGTCTGATTTGTAGAGCAGCTTTTTGGAAGACTGCAAAGCCGAACTGATGAAAACAAACACCCAGCTTTTGTCCTGACTGAATTACTTTACAACTGACTTGTGTACAGTACTGCAATATCCCCTCCTACCTGAAAGACTGATTTACAGTTAACCTGTAAAAGTAACCAGCTCTGCAGATTCCAGAAAATCACAGACACATCCATGTAGGAGGCAAATTTATTCCAGTTACCTCTCTCTGGGAAAGTGAAAACAACAAATGCCTACCTCTACGGTGTTTTCTCTCTATTAATGTAAAATTGTATCTAATAGTTTTTTTCTAAAAATTGCTTATGTGAGAGGTCTGTTCTAAAGATGCCTGGTTTTGGTACACTGTCTAAGCATGCATAATTTTTATTTTCTGCACCACAACACAAAACTCCAAGACAAGACATGTCTCAAGGTAAACTCCTCAATATAAAGAACTCAAAACCACACAAACTAAAGAAAGAACTCTGCTTGCTTTAAAAGAGATCTGCCCAATATTTACCAGATAGCATCCTTTGCTATGGGTTCATTACACGTCATTACAACTGTTAAGAGGTCAGTGAGAGAGTAACAGATGTATCACCATGTCATTTTAAACACAGGTAGGTTTGAGCTCATCACCAACTATAAAACTAACTTCGAGCTCAGTAAATAATAATTTACATTGCCCAAGAAGAACTTGAGTTCCTACACAAAAGTGGATTTTGGGTCCCTTCCCACATTCAGCCTGGAGCTGGCACAATGTTGCCTGGAGCTAAAGGATTTTCCCAGCTGCTACCAAGTGGCCTCGCAGCACCGAGCCTGCTCATGTACTCAGCATGGCAAGTTGGTTCAAAGGTGAAATCCTCAGCTTCAGGGACACCTTCCCCATGCCAGTGTGCATGTCATGACTGAATTACTTTACAAATGACTTGTGTACAGTACTGCAATGTCCCCTCCTACCTGAAAGACTGATTTACAGTTAACCTGTAAAAGTAACCAGCTCTGCAGATTCCAGAAAATCACAGACACAAAGAAACATGAGCCAAGGAACAGATTCTTTAAGGCCTAAAAACTCAGGAATTCACACTGCATTCTTCCCAAGCCTGAAAGGAATTAACAGCATCTCCCCCTATTTGCACCTACCTCTTTTCAAAAATCTCACTGGAAATTCCTTTCTTTGTTTTATCTGTTCTCACAGCTTCAGGTGATTTTGGCTGATGAGTTCAGAAGTTTTTGGGGCCAAGGTAAATGGACAAAGTGACCTAAATACAATCCTTCTCAGAAATCTGGCTAAAAAGGAATCCTAAGGAATTACCACTACTTACCTTCTTTATAGTCTTCTTTTTTTGGGCCTGATTTTGGCTTTGCCAACTGCCTACATTAAGAAAGAGAGGAGAAGAAAGGAGAACAAAATTGTATTAGAAGTATTGTACAAAAGCATTAAATCACATTGCATTGCACATTTCCCTCCCAGGCACATTGGAACTTTAATCTGGTGCTCCATGTCATGTAAAGAAAAGCCTGTAGACTCCAGGGAAGATTTGGATCCCGAGTCTGCTGTGTACCATACGCACGCAGCTCTCTAAGGACAGACATTTCCCAGTATGCTCATCTTGATATCTCAACAGGGCAGGTAATATCTCAGTAACCAAAGTGAAGGAGAGATCTCAAAGGACCTGAGATGCCTTTTACAGAAGCAGAACACTTTTACTAAGAAGAGTGTTTCTAGTTCTAAGACACTGGCACATTAACATAGTCACATTCCCTTGTGGGTTTTTAGCTGTACACTTATCTTGATGTGACTCACTGTGCATGCTTTCACTTTTGCTTTTCATTCTATGCCCTAAACAGAGATTGAACACCTGGAAGTACAATACCTCGAAAAGTGTCGATTGACATTTTCACTTAATATTTCCATGCTTTTGTCAAAGCTAGACTCTGAACAGCGCTGCATGTTTTTTCTCATCGATCTTAAACGGTGTCCATTGAAACATTCAATGTTGCCAGAGGTAAATTTCTAGGAAAAGAAGGAAGAATGTATTTATCTGAACCACCTATTGCCTCATTTGATCAAGTTTAGTCTGTTACACTCCTGATTCAAGAGAGTTGCAACTAATGGCAGGGAAGCCTCAAACCACTTCTGCACCAAGAAGTAGCTCTGATGAAAAAACCACTTCAGATTTCAAAGAAAAAAACCCAAAATCTTTTATTTCAAAATTGGTTCAGTGACCCCAGTAACCAAAATCTCACCTATAACATGCAATTGTTCCACCCCTTTGGGAGGAGCCAAAAATTATACTACAAAAGGAGGGGTTTGGGGCAAAACCCCCACAAAACGACAACCAACCAAACAAGCAAAACAACAGAGAGAGAAAAGCCCCTCTGCTTGCTTTGGATCAGCTGATGGACTGTGTCACTCCTTGTGCCTGAAGGGACACCTTTAGGTGAGGTTTGTGCCTCCCAACTGCCTTGCAACAGAACTCAGAATATTTACCTAATCAGTTGCTAATAGATTTCTGTCACTATTCCTTCTGTAACAGCACATATTAACACTCTGTAGCTGGTGCATTTAGCACCAGCAATTCAGAATCTGCTTTCCTGTCGCTTCAATTACCCTCACTATCTGTGAGTCTGGATCCTGTAAGCTCCTGTTGAACTCAGCCAGGCAGACAGTGTCCAATGGGATATAACCAGAACTTAGGTCCAGCTGCACCCAGCTCTTCTGATCTCTGAGGAGCAGCTGGAAGCTAAGAGGGTTCATTTTCTGCTAGATTTCTATATCTTTAATGCAATAAAAAAATTCTTAGTACTGGGATTAAAATATTTTTGGAAGAGTTTTCCTCCTGTCTCTATTCCATTTATAATGGCATTCAGAGGGATATAAAAAGACTTCCTTCCAGAGGGTAGCATTTACTCACAGAAAACCAAAGGGAACTCAGGATACAGTTTTTCATGGATGCTTATCTTATCCACACTGGTGTTTCTGCAAGGAGGATGCTATTGACTTTTACTGTGGGAGGAAAGCTGCAATGACCACGGGAAGCAGCTTGTTCTATTCACAACCCAAGGTCTCACTGCAAGTATGCCAAACTAAATTTCATACTGAAAAGGGCAGAAACCAGAATGGATTATTCTACTTCTTCACATTAATGTTACCAAGAGGTAATTCCACTGATTGATGGAGATGATGAGTGAAGAAGGACCACAAGGATGTTGAGAGGTTATGCAGGGAGAAAATTACAAGGGCTACAGCCCAAATAGAATTTAATCTGAGTACTGCCCTAAAAGGTGACACAAAACATTTTTACAAATACATCAGCAAGAAAAGGAAGACTAAAGATAATTTCCATCCTTCACATGATGCACAGGCAAACATATGACAATGGATGAGGAAAAGGTAGTAGTACTTTGCCCCAGTTTTTAAGAGTAAGACCAACAGTCCTCATGGTACCCAGACAGGGACGGAGAGCAGAATGAAGTCCCCGTAACCCAGGAGGAAACAGTCAGTGGCCTGCTACACCACTCAGACACTCACACTTCTACAGGCCCCAATGGGATCCCACACAAGGGTACAGAGGGAGCTGGCAGAGGAGATTGCCAACTCACTTTCATAGAATCATTAAGGTTGGAAAGGCCAAGATCGAGTCCAACCTTTGAATGATCATCACTTTGTGAACAAAGCCACAGCACTAAGTGCCACACCCAGTTATTTCTTGAATACTTCCAGGGGTGGTGACTCCATACTTCCCTGTGCAGCCTGTTTCAAGACTTAACCACCCTTTTTGTGAAAAATTTCTTCCTGATGTCCAACCTGAACCTTCCCTGGTGCAGCCAGAGGCTAAGTCCTCTTGGCCTGTCACAGGTTATCTGAGAGAAGAGGATGACCACCAACAACCTCATTTCAGGTAGTTGTTGAGGGTGATAAGGTCTTCCCTGAGTCTCCTTTTCTCCACGTTAAACACCCTTGGCTCTCTCATCTGCTACTCACTTACTTTCTAGACCTTTCCCAGCTCTGCTGTCTTTCTCAGGACACATTCTCTGAGTCTCCTTTTCTCCACATTAAACACCCTCAGCTCTCTCATCTGCTACTCATATCACTTACTTTCTAGACCTTTCCCAGCTCTGCTGTCTTTCTCAGGACACATTCTAACACCTCAATGTCTTTCTTGTCATGAGAGGCCAGAACTAGACACAGGATTCAAGGCGTGGCATCACCATTGCTGAGCACCACAATCACTGCCCTGGTCCTGCTGGCCACATTGTTTCTGATCCAGGTCAGAATGCCCAGACAAAAAGGGAACTCTGGAGCACACTGCCCTCAAATGAAGGTGACAAGAACAAACCTGTTCAGCTTTGGGAATTATAACCCTCTAACTAGGGTTATAGACCTGGAGATACACAGCTTCCAAAGGGATAGCAGCCACTTTGGATCTCACTGGGAGACTTACTCATGAAACTTACTGGGACTGGAAACCTGGAGGAGAATAAACCCAGCAAATGTTTGTTTACCTTAGACCTCCTGTTGTATGTTCTTACTGCCTATGGATGAAAGGAGCTGTATAATTAAATACAAACCATATGCTGCTATCAGAAAAAAAAAGCAAAAGCTGCCACCACCATGTCCTTGCAAATCAACAAGACAGGAAAGAGGCATCAGGACTTGGACATGAAGCTAGCACCAGTTCCATGATCTGTCAGATGGAGCACTTCTACATTATCTCTACAGTTAAAACGCCCAGCAGAGCCCAGCATCCTACAAATGAGGGCATGACTTCATGCTCAAAGCACAGGAAAGGTCTACAAAAAGGAAGGGAAAAAAACCCCAAAAAACAAACAAGCCCAAACCAAAGAACAACCTTGCAACCAGTTTCATAACAATGATTCTACTTTGGTTTCAAGGATGACTTTGTGTTTAGCTTCCTCATTCCTGCTTTCCACACTGAGAACACATGCCAGCAGGGTTATCTGCCTAATGCTGCACAGCCTTCCCTCCTGCGCAGAGGCTGAACGAGCCCCCAACAACCACTTCTAGTGGAGACTGCAAAAACAAAGCAGTGGTCTTTAAGAAGATTCCAAGACTTTTTGTAAGGGGGGTAAAAAAAAACCCCACCACTGCAAGGACTTTTAGTTCAGCAGTCTTGAATATAATGGCACAAAACCATAAAATTAATTCATACAACTGAGACTCCCGAAAGACTTCTGCTGGAAGCAAACAGAGTCTTTGAGAAGCATCACTCCAAGGCAGGGCTCCCCTGAAGAGCAGACCACTTCCGAGTCGGATTGGGTCTGTCTTAATTTGTCACAGAAATGCAGGACAGCCTGCAGAGTAGAGCCTGACTTGGAAATAGCAGGGGAAAAGTTTCGGTTTTTTGAAAGCTATGTTAAAAACAATGGAAAGTGAAATTATTCAGTTACTACAGTTGCAGTGCTGAGATGCAGAGAGCACAGGCCATTTGATATCTATCCTTTAGATCGTGCAAGTTGTCTCTCTTCTAGTAGGGCAGATCAAGATTACTGAAAGCTCAAATAACATTTTCATAGGTTATGCTCTTTAAGTACAAATGCGCCCTGATTTCTAAACATTTTCTTTTTTAGAGCATCCAAAATACTATATGGATACAATTGACTAAGGAGTATTTAGCAGGCCCTTCGGGCCAACCAGAACGTCCTCAGAGGTCCCATATATTTCGTGTCACGCTGTTTTTGATGCATTTCTGTTATCTAAACAGAGAGCGCTCCATAAGCATTGCTGTAACTAAAGCAAAGAACTTTCTAAGATCTTTTCAAGGTAACTTTTTCAGATAAAGACCTGCACCAAAATAAACGGCGATGGGGAATGACACAGAACACACCAAACCGTGAGGCGATGCAGGCTGGTATTCCCAAAGGCCGGCTCTCAGCACGCTGCCGCGGCCCCGGGACCAGGGCTGGTGCCGAGCCCCCTTTCAGCCGGGGGGCGGCCGGGAGCGGGGGGCGGGCCGGCTGCTTCTCCACACACCGCTAACGGCTTGCCCCGAACACTCGGCTCTCCGCTTTTTTTAATTTTCCTCCACGGAACACCACTCCCCAGCGCTTTCTCCGCTCCTCCCAGCAGCTCCCGGCCAGCAGCGGCTCCCCCCGCCGCCTCTCCGGGCCCAGAGCCCAGCGCTGCCCGCCAGGCCGCGCTCTCCCCACCCCCACCCGCACTCACGGCCTCCTCGGTTCTCCTGGCGCCCCTGGACACCGCGGCCCTGGCGGACCCGGACCGCGTCCATACGCGGTGGCTTCTGAGCGCGGGGGACTCCAGGGAAATGAACTCGGAGCTGGAGTCCAGGAGGTCGAAGGGGGGCCGCCGGCAGCGGCTGTCGCGGGCAGCCATGCGGGGCGGGCGGGCAGCGCTGCTCCGCAGGACCACCATGGCGAGGGGGTCGCGGCCCCGCGCACCGCCCGGATCCCTCCGCCGCGCTGCCTCCCGCTCCGCTCGGCCCCGCGGCCGCTGCTCCCGGCCCGCGCGGCGGAAGGGCACTGGCGCACTGCGGTCCCCGCGCCACAGACGTTTGGCGCCGAAAACTCGGAGCGCTGCGCCGGCGGCGCGGGGCGGAGCGCAGCGGAGCGGGGCTGGGCTGGCTCGGCGGCCCCGCCTCGTCCTGTCCGGCCCCGCCTGAGGGGCCCCTGCACCTCCCGCCGCCGCTCCGGCCGTACCGGCGAAGTGCCCGCGCCGAGCCGCGATGGCCGCGGTTTCCTCGGGGACGGCATAGCGGCTGCTCCCGCCGGGCCCAGCGCTTCCTGCGCCGCCCTCAGCCCCGCTCAGACCGGCCATGGCGCGGCCCGAGGCTGGTTATGAGGCGGCGGTGCCGCCCCGCCCCGCCTGCACCTACACCAGCTGCTACTGGTAAGGGAGACGGACGGACGGACGGGCCGGTCGGTGCCCCCTCGCACTGCCGTGAGGCGCCGGGGCCACCGGCGGGAATGGCGCGGCTGCGGGCTGATCGCACTCCTGGGCTCGCTTCTCGTCACGAAAAACGAAGTTGGAGGAAAACAAAATAAATAACCGGTTTTGTGTTTTGCAGCGAAGAAAATGTTTGGAAGCTTTGTGACTACATCAGGAGTCAGGATCGGTACCCCTTAGAAGAATTTTATGCTGTTTTCATATCCAATGATAAGAGGATGGTGAGTCAATGGGATGTGATCAGAGGCAGCTGTGGAAAGGCTCGGGCCTTCAGACCGCAGCCCAGCGTAGGTGAGAATGGTCCCAGCGATTTCCACCGCAGCCCAGTGCTGGGCAGTGAGCCTTTAGCCCACCTGTAGGTGAGATACAGTCCAAACCCCTCTTGTAGCTCACTTGGGCTCAGAGGTGTGGTGTGCCAGCCACAACACGTGAGATCTTTTAATTATGCACTGTGTCCAGGACATGGTGTCCCTGTGAGCTGTGGGAGTAACTCTGTCTGTAATCTGTCAGTTTAGAATAGTTATCTTTAAAAAATCATAGAACCACTAATAAATAACCGTAAGGTTGGAAAAGACCTCTAAGACCATCAAGTCCAACTGTTAACCTGACAGCATTATGTTCACCACTAGACAATGTCCTCAAGTCTTTTGGATGTTTCCAGGGATGGTGATTCCATCACACTTCTTTTTAATGTGGCCCAGAATAGTATTTCCAATGTCATGCTCCTGAGAAACTAGAAAAAACTTTCTTACTGCAGCACAGATGTAAGCTGAGGAAATTAATAGGTTAGCAAAGAACTAACTAATTTACCTGAAATAAATCTCTATTAATCTGAAAGATTTTGTTATTCACTTCAGGTTAATTTATAACTTTCAGATTCCACTCTGGAAGCAGAAATCTGGACATGGAGATGAGCCTGTTGTCTGGGTAAGGCATTCATTACTCCCAGTAATTCTGAGTGTGTGCCTCTGTAGTTGATAGCTGCAGGATCACACGTGGGCATATAACAATCTGTTCCATCTGAACATGAAGGAACACTTTCTGCTCTGAGGGTGATGGAGCACTGGAGCAGGTTGCTCAGAGGGGTTGTGGAATCTCCATCCTTGGAGATTTTTAGAAGCTATCCAGACACAGTCCTGGACAGTTGGCTTTAGGAGAGTATCATTGAGCAGCAGGTTGGACCAGATGACCTTTTAAAGTCCCTTCCAATTTCACACATTGCATAGTTTTACATTAATATTTATAATTCTTTTACAACAGATTTATAAATGGCCTAAATCTGGTGCTCCTTTGCACCATCCCTCATAAATTAATAGCAGTACAGTCAGTGCAACCTATAGGTGATAAGTCTTAATCATAGTAAGAATGCATAATAGATTTATGAAAATTATTATCTAGGTGTTGAGGCTGCCAGCTCTGTAGTATTGAAGATAGATGACTGTACGTGTAAGAACTGGATGGATGAACATATTTATGTAGGCCTGCCAGATGATAGAAAAGTGTAAGTTATATGTGTATTCAGGTGTCAGCAGTTAAACTGACCCATAAACAGTGGCTTTGAAGTGTCATTTGATCAATTAATGTACTTCAGTAATTGCTGATGCAGAATTCCTTGGTGACTACATCATTTATAGAGACCTTTCAGTTACCTGGCACAGAAAAAAATATTTCTTATAGCAATTTCTGTTTCTGAGATTCTGCAGAGTAATCTGCAAACTTTTGAAGTTTTCTGTTTTCTGAATCACTGACCTTCTTCCAAAATATTGGTAGCTTACAGTACAAAAAAAAAATTTAAAAAAGTTCTGGTATAAAAAGAGATCCAAGTGCTAGAGAGAAGACCTAAAAGGGAATAGCAGAGTCGGGAAAGGCCATGGCAGAATGTGGATTTCTCATAAAAAATTCATGGATTCAAAGGTCTTTTAACTTTGACATTTCAGTATATAAAACTTGTAAACTATTTTTTAATACTCTCTAATAGGTTTTTCTAAATACTGTTGAATACAGTTGTGTATGTATATTGGTCTGGTGAAGTAGATTGCCCAAATCTTTTTAATTCAAATTTCTTTGTGGTTTTAATATTGAAAGTGTCAAAAGACAGTGCTCAACCCTTTTTGTGAGTGGATTCAATGTGAATTTAAGTAAGTTGTTAAGGGCTACCTTCAGTTTAATTTTGGAAAACAGCAGTGCACATACCTGACACATAATGTCAGTAACTGCAGCATCCTCAAACCTCCACCTGTGTTTGTTACAAGGTAAGGATTAAACTGCACTGCATAACCCAAAAGTCTTGATAAAATAGTTGCCTTGAAAAAGTGTGATTAGTACCCACAGATATTTTTTCCCAGCTTCAAGAGTTGCTACAGGAAATTGTCTCACTCCTGTGGTCCTCCTGATCCGAGCTGTTTGCTGGTTTTTCAGTGGTGTGCTGGTTTTTCAGGGGCTTCTGGCAGCTGAACACTCGACACTCAAATTCACAGACCGTGTTACTGCAACAGGTACAAAATCTCTTATTAGAAGAGATCACTAGGTAAATTTAATGTTAACCTGTCATTTTATCTTGTGAGTTTAGTTATGACTGGGTCTAATAAAAAATGCTTAACCAAAAAACTTTTGCGTTTTGGTGTGGAACATGAGAGAGATTTTCTGTTTTCTTAGGAGTAGTGTACACTTTAGTTTGCTGTTTTGGTTTAAATCAAAGGAGGCTGCAAAGAAATGGGGAGAATAGCAAGGTTTCTGGAAGAGCAGATGGGCAAAACAGACATTTCCACATCTCTCTCCTGGTGCCAGAAAAGTTAGAGGCTTAATATTCAAGGACAGCAAGCAAGTTTTAAAAAATGGATCTGAACTTATGCTTTTAGGAAGATCTTTTTTTTTTTCCACTCTCTTTGCCAGTTTCTTATTAATTGCTGTTTAACTAATGGCAAATCCCCTTCTTCCCAGGACTACCATGTTGTTCTACTTCATCTTTCCAGCGGGGAGCAGAACTTCATTTATGATCTTGACACAGTGTTGCCATTTCCATGTCCTTTTGATGTGTACAGTGTAGAGGCGTTTAGGTTGGATGACAGCCTTCGTCCAGAGTTTCACAGGTGATGACATGAAATATAAAGACTATGGATGTTATTTTATAAAATCAAAGTTGAAGTTCTCTTTGTGTGTGCATAGTAACAGAGGTTTCTTTACTATACTCCAGTAAGATAAATGCTCTGTGTTACTTTTCTAAAGCTCTTTACCTTAGTCATCAAAAGCCTTTTTCTTTCCTACAGTAGCTTCATGTTAACAACTTGGCCCAACGTTGCTGGTTTGTGTATTTAGTAACATTAGTGCTCCTTAATGAGAGGAAAGTGCTCTTATTTTGAGTGATTAGTGCAGTATTGTGTACATGCATCTTTTAATTCAATTTTGCATTTTGTTTTTAGAAAAATCAGAATGATTCGAGCAGATTTGTACTTGAAGACATTTGCTTCAGACAGATCTCATATGAAGGATGCAAATGGGAAATGGCAGAAACCTCCTCCTCCATACCCTTGCATTGAAACTGCAGGTGAGCTCCCTGAACTCCTTCATGCTTACAGTGCTGAATGAACTAGTCCAGGATGCACATGGGAAATAAATCACTTCTATAACATTTGTCCAGCCAGCTTATTACTTCATATGGGAAAAAAATAGGGCTATGAGGCATTTGGTGCTCTCTTTTTTGAACACAGTCCAATGTGCCTTCTGGCCTTTACTGGTATCAAACATTAGATACTGATATTCATAAACTGAGCAGAGAATGACAGGTAAGTAATACTGTTCTCTTGTTACAGCAGGGAACTGAAGCAGAAAGGCCAAATAACTTGCTTAGGGGTCACAAAATTTTTCACACAGTGATAATACCACACTCTAGCGCACAGATCCCATTCTGGCAAAGTAGTGTTGGCAGGAGGAAGTTTTCAGACTCTGCTTAGTGTGGTGGGTTTGCCTGCATGAAATGTTTGAGGTTTCTGTACCACGGGAATCGACCCCAGGATGTTTTAATTCACTGGCAAGTTGGCAAGTTTTTCCCTAAGTCTTAAACCTCGTTGAAGTGATAGCCTAGCTGAGAGACTCTGGGCCAGGCAGGGAGAGAGGTAGACTGCAGCTCTAGTCTGTAGAGCTGCTTAAAGCATTCTTATCACACAGCATTTCAGCTTGTTCTAATCATCTGTTTTGCAAGCTGAGTAACATTTGCCACGTGTGTTTGTTTGTTCTTTCATTTTCTTCCAAGGAAAGCATGGTGACATTTTGCTTTGAAAGAGTTTGAAAGAGTTTTCATGTTACTGCTCTGCATGTTTGGTTTTGTTGATTTTTAATAATGCAGTACTGCTGTGTGTTTATGTTAGAGAAGAGAGGGTCAAAAAAGCATGGTTCTGTCTTTTAGGTCCAAATGGTTTTAAGCTGCTGGGAAATTAATTGTCAGTCTTTGCTTTGTCTTCTAAGGAAGTTTGGTGTTTCACATGAGAGTAGAAATTAATTATGAGAGTGAGCAGGGACACAGATGTAGTCTTTGTTATGAGGCTTTAGGTGTTTCCTAGACAATCCAGGTTATGAAGCACCTTGAATTCTAACTCTTGGTTATTATTTTCAGCAGAGTTTCATGCAAAAATATTGTAGGGAGAGTAGGATTCCTGAACTACAGTGAATGGTTGTTCTCTGTTAGCTGGAGCCTCATAGGTGTTGAGAACGTTTTGTCTGTGGAAACCTTGTTTTGATAGCTGAGAGCTAATGAAAGTGTGAGGAATATAGATGAGGTCAGACCAGGAAAGCAAAAAATTCTATTCAAACCAAAGGAGTAAAAACCTTTACTTGTGGGTAGCAAGTTACATAATGACTCAAAGAGTTGTGGATGTGTACATGTATCTCTAGCTGGAGTAAATGACTC